CATCCACATAATCATTTTCTCGGAATTGCTCCCCAAAAAATTCCAATGCTGCTTGCCCAATTTGATCATTGGAAGTTAATGTAATTCCCTGCTCTGTTACAATTTTAGCAATATGTAACCTCTTCCTTCTCCCCTTCACATAAGAATGGAAGAACTTTGTGTTCATATCACCTTCTGTAAACCATTTCATACCTGCCTTTTGCCTCCAAAATTCTTCTTCAAGCCTCAAGTATTTCTTCAGTTCCGCCTCCACTTTATTCAGATCTGCTCTATTGCTTGCAGAAGGTTGTATTTCCAGTTGATCCTCCTTAACTTTAATGACATCCTCCATGGTGGCAATTTGTTGAAATATATTACCAAAAGCTTCTTTACTCCATCCAGTCAGCGCCTTTTTGACCTTTTTCATCTTTGCATGGAATTCTATAAAAGGATTCCCAGCAAACTCCACTGTCCAATTCTCTGCCACAATCTTCTTAAAATTTTTGTGTTTTCTCCAAAAATTGAGGAAACGAAAAGGCTTGACCATGATTTCCTCAGCTGATTTGCATATCAAATGCAGGGGTGCATGGTCAGATCCTTGTCGAATCAAGTGATGCACCTCTGAAGATGGAAACTCCTCCAAAAAAATCCTGATTGACCAAGATCCTGTTAAGTCTTTTAAAAATGCACTCATTTTCAATCCTCCCATTCCACCAAGTGTATTTGCTTCCTATAGTTTGTACTTCTGCCAAATCACATGAACTGATAAATGATGCAAAAATCAATGGCCTCATTCTGGGTAAAAGGCAGTCCTCCCAATTTCTCCTCCTCATTCAAAATAACATTGAAATCACCCCCAATAACCCAAGGACAAAGTTCCCTATCAACAATACCCTCCAGCTCATCCCAAAGTTCCAGTCTTTCCATTGTATTGCATCTAGCATATACAACTGAAATAATGTAATACCTGTTGTTTATTCTGAATTTTATGGTAACTTGTTGCATAGTATCCAGAATGATGTTTCCTTCCCACTCCGCCCTCCAGAAATACCAAATTTTTCCGGAACAATTTACTCCGGCATTATCAAAACCCAGCTTTCTCTTATACTGATCTATCTCTGATGGATCTTGAAAAGGTTCCATCAAAGCAATGAATGCATAATGATTTCTTTTATTTAGATCCATTAATCTGTCAAAAGATTTTTGAGTATTAACCGACCTAATATTCCAAAAGATAATTTTTTCAATCATTGATAACTGATAGATGCCTTCTCCCTGCTGCTCCTTGTTTTAACCTGTAAAGGTATTGTTTGTTTGCCTTTCCATGCCCCATTTTTCAAACTATTAGTATGCCTTGGTGATAAATCACCAGCATTACTAATTTGTCGAATGTTATACTCCAAATCTTCATCCTCCTCCATTTCTTTTCTATGTTGCAGGTGTTCCTCCTCATCCTCAATTAAATCTGGTCTGTTTCTTGCATCATTATCCCTTTCCCCTTTGCTGTTTTTCCCCATAGATAAATTGCTTGCCTCAAATAGTTGTCCTGTAATATTATCATTCTGATTTCCCCCCCCCCCCCCTCTT